GTGCACTAGTTGATTTGCCCTTCAGTGTCAATCTCAGTGGTCACTCGAGCCGTTCGCACCTGGATTCATTGAAGTGAATTTGACGGAATTCTTTCTCTTCCCACAAAATGAACGACGCGCTAACCCTGGTCTGTTCAGCGCTACTGATCTCAATCGTAGTTTGGTTGTTAAATCCTCTTGCAAAACTACACACCTTACTGAGCTATCTCTTGCGTGGAGACACAGGCTCGCATATTGCAAATCATTCGGAAGAAGTTCGCTCGTTCGAGGAGATGCCTGGTCCGAAGGGATTGCCATTTTTCGGCGACTTGATTAACTACGTAAGGAAAACCAAGTTTAAACCACAGATGGCAATGCTCCAAACGTCCTTCGAGAAATACGGGTCGATATTCAAGACGACAATTATGGGAACAACGATTGTTTCTATTCAAGATCCCAGGAATGTAGAAATCGTCTTTAAGGCCGACGGCAAGTATCCCGTGCGACCTGGGGAAGTCGTCAAAATAGGCGAATGGTGGAGGAAAAGCAGAAACCTTCCGAAAAATGTGGCGGCACTGTAAGTACAAACAAAATGAGCTGGCGTTGTATTTTCATCGAGGTATAGATGACATCAAGAAAGTTTAAGAATTGTTTAGGATGATCTTAAACTGTACCGAGTTCAGGAAAAGGATGAGAAATCACGCACTAGTTAATGAAGGATTAACAGGGAAAACGATGTCTTTTTGTCGTTCTTTTCCTCACTTAACTTAATTTTAACACTTTCATTTAATTATATAAAACGTCACAAACCCCTCTCTGAAGGCAAGAACAAGAAGTCGACGTAGCAACGTAGGAATTCATGGCTTAATATCTGTTTTGAACGAGGCCTGTCAGATCTCTGTTACAGGCAATTAAAACGAAAGAAAGTGTTACAACGGAGAGAAGAAAATGAACAAGACATTTTTGCAAATGTTACCTCTATTACATCTACATAAACTTTATGTCAAGAGAATATTTCTGAATATATTGAGGTGTATGTGCCCATTTGGGTTGTCACGCGATTCTTATCCTTGATAGTTGCGTGAGGAATGGATTAAGAAGAAGTCGCAGGTTAATATTTACAACTTTTTCTCTTAGAAGAGAAAAGTTCAGAACTCTATTGCCACATTTGGGCTATCGACTGGTCATGAGATTAGGCGTAAGACAACTCTCTGATTTCTGACATCATTCGTTAAGTTTGTAGTCTCCTCCGCAGCCGTTATTAGGGTCGTCACGCAACGCTTCTCCCCCACCAATGAGATGCACTTTGTTTCGCTTCACTTTGCTTCACTTTACTTCACGTAATAGGCACAGTTCTCGAACTGTAATTTATCAAATGTATTTCAATATAAAGGGTCTCCAACAAGATCTCCATACAACTGTACAATAATATAATACGGATGGACATTAATATCGCGGAATTGCTTAATCTTGTTTACTTGGTGGGGGAGAAGCGTTGCGTGCGTTGCGTGGCGACCCTAATAACGGTTGCGGAGAAGACTATTAAGCTTGGGGTGACTACAATCCTCGTCAAACACTCTGTTTACTTTATTGTATTTTATTTCATCTCATTTCATTTCACTTCATTTCACTTCATTTCGCTTCATTTCACTTCATTTCGCTTCATTTCGCTTCATTTCGCTTCATTTCGCTTCATTTCGCTTCATTTCGCTTCATTTCGCTTCATTTCGCTTCATTTCGCTTCATTTCGCTTCATTTCGCTTCATTTCACTTCATTTCATTTTATTTTATTTCATTTTATGACAGACAGGGGGAAGACTGGAGCCGAGTACGCCGAGCCTTGGCGTCCAAGATGCTTCGACCCAAAGAAATCCGTGAAAACCTCGACAACTTTAATGGGGTCACCAGGGATACTATAGAGCATTTGCTGGCAATAAGGGGAGACGATGGTGTGATTCCAGATCTCGAGAATGAACTTGCAAAGTATGCTTTCGAATGTAAGTTTGATAGCAAGGGTGATTTTGTGACTTTCTTTTACTTCTTGATCTAGCTTCTTTAATTACATCCTTTTTTATAATAAGAATATTGTTTTGCGGCCCAGACTAAATATCCTTACTTTTCCTGCCGATTTTAGGCTGAGGATACTCTTGTGAATATTCCTAGATTATAGAGTATGACATTTCCATGTTGTTGACTTTGATGACGTTGAAGCAATTTTGGAGCCAGACTACAGACAATAAAGCATGATGTGAGAAGTATCACTTTTTTGCAGAAATGTTATTAGGATCGAACGTACGGCTAGTGCTCTTTTTGTTGTCTTCTGGCTTGTTTTGCTCTTCGAATTTATAGTATGATTTAGTTAAAAACATATAATTGTATTGTATTTACAAATCTCAACACTCAAAATTACATTCATTTCAAAATCTCAGCCTCATGTTTATTCTTAAAATAATCTTAAAATTCCGCAATTTTCAGCCTCGATATTCTTTTACGATATACTCTTGCAAAAGAAAAGAGTTTATTAGATACACTTCGTTTCACTTCACTTTACTTCACGTAATAGGCACAGTTCTCGAACTGTAATTTATCAAATGCATTTCAATATAAAGGGTCTCCAACAAGATCTCCATACAGCTGTAAAATAATATAATACGGGTGGACATTAATATCGCGAAATTGCTTGATCTTGTTTACTTGATTGTTGATTGTGATTCCGGGGGGACGGGGTGCTTCTTATAATGGCCTATAGGGGGAGGTTCCGTCCGAAAGGGTATCGTTTTCAGGCTCCAGTTATATAAAAGGGCAAGGATTTCACAAGTAGAGGTACAGGGGTAAGGACATCTGTAGCGATAGACTATCTGTCATTCGATTATTTTAAAGGGCCTTTAATTAAGATATTTCGAACAGACGTACCTTATGGCTGTATCATTTCATTTATTATGCATTGCATGAAAATGACAAAAAGACTGAAATTTATGGCGACCAATTCATACAATGTAGTACGGGCCAGTTATGAAAGTATGTGAGAGAGGTACCTTTTGCGAATTTAAGTTACATACGAAAGGGGGGAACCTTTTCTGCCAAAATGATATACAAAACGGTAAGGGGTTGGAACTCGGGATGAAGCATCCCCCAAAAAACCTTCTAGAGTACTCACCCCTCCCGCCCCCCGCTCCGCCGCCCGACCTGCGATTCTGAAGTTTCCTTTCTTGTTTCTTTTTCAGCTGTTGGCACCATGGCGTTTGATGTGAGAATTGGTCTTTACGATGACCCACCAAACAAGGAAACAGTCAAAATGATTGAGGCAACTAAAGAATCTTTTCGACTTTTGGGAGTGTTGTGCAGAGGTTTGGAAAACCTGTTGTTTGCGTTCGTGACAACTCCTAACTACAGAAAATATTGTAAAAACCAGGACATTGCAATAGAGATTGGCCAAAGGATCGTGGATGACAAGGTTTCAGAATTGAAGAAAATGGCAGAGGAAGGTGAAGAATTTACTAAGGATGGAGGTAAGGATTGTACAACTCATTGTGAGTTGAATTTGACGGAACGTTTCCACTAACACGCCTTAGCGTACTTTTATTAGCAACGTCTGGCGCATTTTCTTCACCTCTTACAAAGGGGCGATGATATTTTTGTTTTCGGTTGGCATGATGATGCAGACGATTGCCTGCAGGTCAGGCGGTTTGGAAAAAGAAGACTGAAGGACAAAGGGAAAGAAAGAACCCCCTTCCGTGATTTTCGAGAGCGCCCTTATGTATTTGCACTGAACTTTGTTGTTTATTAGTGTGCCAAGATGAGGAATTTACATTCGACAGAGGGAGATAAAAAGAAGAGACATGCAAACACTAGGGAACCATGGTTGTCCAGTCTCGCGCTACCTTTTAAGCCTTGTTGGCTAGCAGCTAGGAGCATGACACATTAAAATTAAAATTATATATATTTATCAGAATGTAAATATCATTACGATTCCGAATCGGGACTAAATCAACTCTTTCCCTATATTTGGCGGATGCACGAAAATTTTCTTTTTGACATAGCTTGAACGTTTTGACTAAATAGCATATTCATGTGTTGTAGCTGTACCTCTACTGACGTACCTCATCATGAAAGGCGAACTTACACCACAGGAGATTAACATGAATTCTATTTCGATGTTTAGAGCAGGAGTAGACACGGTGAGGAGTCTGTGAATGAAGAAAGATTTAGAACAGTGTTCGATACTGTCTTGTTCATGATGATAAATGCGAATGCAGCCATAACACTACTGGAAAAAAGACCTGGAAAGAATTTTCAGGCTTTGAACGGGATTAGAACCCACGACCTTTGCGATACCGGTGCAATGCTCTCCCAAATGAGCTATCAAAGCTACATGAGAGCGGTCGTGTGTGGGTTGGCCCTTTATTCCAGCGGTGTTATGGCTGCATTCGCATCTATCATTATATCTACAGTTAATTGCTACTGTTGGACATCTATTACTATGGAATTTACATACTTGAGCCGAGTATTACGTCCACTGAACATAAAGGGCCAAAATTAACCCACACACGACCGCTCTCATGTGGCTTTGATAGCTCAGTTGGAAGAGCATTGCACCGGTATCGCAAAGCTCGTGGGTTCGACTGAATCCCGTTCAAAGCCCGAAAATATTTTCAGGTCTTTTTTTCCAATAGTTTTATGGTTGCATTTGCATCTATCACCATGTCTACATTTAACTGCTACTGTTGGACATCTATTACTTTCTTGTTCGTAAAACGCAAATGGTACAAGACAAAGAAACCAGGCCTCCGGTATTCCAAAAAGGGTTTTATCTTGCGTTAAAATTTCATCATGTTTTAGAGGAAGTTTGTGAAATTTGAGACTTAAAATGGTGAAATTGCTGTTTTTCATCGAAGAGCGGAGGCAAAATTCCCCCTTTCAAGATTTGGGAATTTGGTTATTAGCGGTTACTACACCAACGTATAGCTACGGGCTTGATATAGATTTGAAGGAGGTTACTGTTCCGCAATTTTAGCGTCTGCATTTTTTAGTTCTTATGATTCCATATACTACTGGATGGGATGCTATAGAACACCTACCCGTGCGTCTTCTTCACTTTATCGGTCAATATGGCGATTTCTGGGGCGCTTAACTTGAGCTATCCACGTTAGCAGAATCTACACCCTCCTGGAATTTGCGAAGCCAGGAGTGATCTAAGATTCCTTGACAGGCATTACCTCGGGAGCAATGGCTAACTGAATAAAAATCTACCTTATCTTTCATTCTCTCTTGACTACACTCAATATTAAAACTTACGCAGTAAACATGACAACTATGACATACGAACCTATTTGTTCGACGTGACATTTGAATACTCGGTGTACTTAGGTTACAAGGCAAGCAATTTCTTCATGGCAAGCTTTGTCACAGTGGTCATCTTGGAGGGACCAATATCTGTTTGATCTAACAACTTTCTTAACGTCGGACTTTTATTCCCACAGACATCCGGCGGACTGCTTTGGCTACTTTACGATTTGGCGTGTAATGCAAAGGCGCAGGAGAAGTTGTATGATGAAGTGGTCTCCCTCATTGGGCCTCATGGAGATTTTACCCCAGAGAGCTTTGCAAAGTTGACTTACGGGAAGGCTTGTCTCAAAGAGAGCATGCGGTAACGAAAGAATTCCATTGTTTCTTCTTATATTAGCAGATTCAAGCCTGACTTGCCCACCTCATTTACCAATCATCCACCAATTCATCTCGTGACCCTGGGTTTTGGGAGGGTCATTGACTAAGCTGCCTCAGACAATTGAGCTTCCAAATCAACGGCCTTTTCTCCAATTGGCCATTTCAGAGTTGCCAGCTGCGAAACCATTCATATGAAAATGTGTGCCACCTACAGGTTCATTTTCAGGCAAATCATACTCATCTTCAGATGAAAGGTTTGGCATGATGACTCGTTTTGAAACAGAGGCGCAAGGTAACTCAGAAATGGCCTATTCAAATCTCCTGGACTTTATCCTGCATAAATTCTGTGAGAAGTTGGTCTAGTAATAACAGGTTTCACATCTTTAAAATTTGGGTGGGAGAAAAAAGTATACACCTTGACCTTTGTTTATGGAGGTTATAGCTTTCATTCTAGTGAGTATCATTATTGTCAATTGAAAGGAAAATCATCATTATCGCTATCATCAGACATCATTGCTTTCGTTGTCGTTAATGTTATTTGTATTTTTAACTCTCAGATTGCATCCTGGTGCCTTTGCTTGGGGACGCGTTCTGACGCAAGAAGTGGTTCTATCCGGTTACAAAGTTCCTCCCGGAGTGAGTAAAACTGAGGCACAATCGCATTCAGTTGAAGGTCTACGAGCTTGTCTACTTTTAGTTTCCTTCACACTTTTTTTTCATCTTTACTGCCTTCTTTTTGGCCCGTCTGTCTTTCTGTCTGTCTGTCTGTCTGTCTGTGTGTTTGTTTGACAGTACTGCGCCTTTCGTCTGTTTAATGCTGTCTGTGTCTCTGATTCTGTGTCTACCTGTCTGTCTGCCATGTCTGTCTGTTTTCCATCAATTCTCTACTGATGCTTATACATGGCTTTTATTTTGGCAAGTAGAGTGGTGGTCTGTGTTATAAAACGGGGCAATACTTCAAGGGCAAACCTCAACCGTTTCATTTATTTAAATAACAAATGATAAAGAGGGATGAAAAGACAAGGATGAACTTCTCGACCATCCTATGTAAAGAGCCACAACAGATTTAATAATTAGCTGATGTTTCTCTTGTTTAGCTAAGGCCAGGTTTAGCATGGAGGAAGTACCCGGGGGCCTATATGTCCACTTACAAAAAAGAATGAGGAGTAAAAGAGACTCCCATATAGGTTTTATTCCAAGGGTTATCCTAGCCTATTCCAGGCTCTCGGTCAGTGGCGACGATTGAAAAAGCGGGCGGACAATCAGACCCCGCTCGTCCCCACTGACCGAGAGCCTGAAACAGGGTACGGTAATCCCTGCAGAGGTGTTTTTAGAGTCTAGAGATGGTATCAGTTTTTCCGCTGATACTGTTACCACGCTGGATATTTTCGTGTACGATGAAAATGCGTGTAAAGCAGATTGGATTGTTCACAGGGCTCTCCTCCTGGGAATTTCAAAATCGACAAGGATTTAAAATAGCTGCAGACGGACAACCTTGGGAATATGGCCTGTCTTACCCTTTATCTCCTCTTTCCACTTGTATTATACAGTCTTCTTGATTTACTTCATTCGTTCGCTAAATTTAAATAAATTCTGAAATTAGACTTGTCCAACATCTTTATTTTCAGACCATCGTTAGGTATTCCAATTACCTTGCGGGACGTTCAGAGAAGTTGTTTAAGTTCCCCTTGGAGTTCAAACCTGAACGTTGGTTGAATGATGACTTGGGAAAAATCCATCCATTTGCCATTTTACCATTTGGAGTCGGCGCTCGCATGTGCATCGGTACGTTATATTTTTTCACCAAAATGCATCGATATTCGATTTAGATCAAGAAAAAACTCCATCCTGCTTTGGATTTCAGTAAGTATACATGCTCCGTCTCACGAGATCACCCTTGGAAACATTCGATATACGCTCTGTAAATCAAGTCCCACTCTCGACCATAACTTTCTACATGCACTTTTGGGTTGAGATTTGCTTTTCTGTGTAACTTAAGCTTTTTTTAGGGGCTTCATTTTAGAGGACATTGAGGGTTTCTGAACACCGCAGTACCGTACAAAAATTCAGCAAATCGCCAAATACCGCAACACTTCAATACCAAGTCGAAACTTAGATGTCACACCGAAACCACTACTCTGTATGTCAAGTTTAGAACAAATAACACAGAAAAAACAAGTAGGAATTTGTTTATAAACGTTAAGTCAGGTAATTTTTGATTTAGACAAAACAAACAAACATCCATTGGCGTGTTGGCTAATAATTAACAAAATATAACTTACCCTTTCCCGATTGGAAACTTGATAAGGCTCGGAAAACGTAGGAGGACTTAGAGGATAATTTTTAATATCGTCAATAATGCTAAAAAAACGCATCCCGTAGGTTCGGATAAATACTGCAATTTTGCAATTCGAGATTGAAATTACCGAAATACCGCAAGAAAAATTGTCCAATACCGCAAACTCCAATGTCATTTTACAATCTACATCACAAGAGCCCGTCATAAAGTTTTTAGATGGCGATTGCTTGTGTTCCGCTGGTTTTGATTTTGTTGTTTTTCTTGGACACTGTTTCACAGGGCGTCGCATTGCCGAAACCGAAATCTACCTTCTGGCTACAAAGGTAAGGTAGTTCTCTGCATGGCTCCCTTAAAGTTGTAGGAGCGTCGTGATAGAAACCAAACTTACGACAACATAAGGCTATTGCAACTTAAAAAAGCTTGAAAAAATATTTTTATTTTTTGCTGTGGATCTGGTGATCCTTTCCGTGAAAGGTCAGTTTTGTGTGATCATTCCAAGCGTAGAGCAAACCCAACACACCGTACTAAATAAATTTCGCGAGAACCTCTTGACACTGTGAGTGATTCTACTTTATAAACAATGCAAATGAATATGTGAAGGACCAAATCTGATCATTCATGTCTTTCCTTTATGAACCATATTATTACGGTATTAGCTGTTATGTGATAAGGGTGATAATCTCAACCTTAATCTGTGTCGTGCTTTTCAGTTGGTGCAGCGTTTCCGTTTGGAATACCACGAGGACCCTGTAGAGATGGAGTTCAGATTACTCGCTGTTCCTGACAGGCCGCTGAAAATAAAATTGATTGATCGCGAGTAATTATGATTACCTAAGTTAGCGAGGACAGCTGGCCTCTCGATGACAAAGGAACGTCTTTTTAGGGAAGTGGTCAAAACTATTATACATATAAGGGACCCACTAAAATAACTTGAGACTACCGTCTCTTTCTATAGCCCCCTACCCTTATCCAGATACCAAGGATTTCTTTTATAGCCCCTCCCCCCCCCCTCATCCCTT